CCGAAGCGGGTTTTGGTTCCAGACGGGATCTTCCCGGGAGAACTGGGTGTCTTTCACCAGTCTCTTCATTCTTGGAGGATTGAGCTGGATTTTCGTTTTTGGTTTACCCGGGTTTCCTCTCCCTTCCTGCTGGTCACCTTTGCCCTTTGTCTTTGGGATGTCCCAATTATCTTGCGGCATCCCAAGGTAATCGGTCTCCTCTTCTGAGGAGTATCTCCCTTCCCAGCCATCCCACAGGTCCAGTGGCTGGTATCGTTTGTCGCTTTGACGGCCATGTACCCTTTCATCCACCCTAGCCGCTCATACTTCTTCCTCTTCCCCTCGTCTGAGCGTTTGCTTGGGTTTTTCCAAGCGGGTAGACTTATCCTCCCCCATAGCCGTCTTATAAATAGTCGCGTCTGTATTGTTTCCTTCGTCCTTTTTCGGGTTGATGAGTATAAACCGTCGTTCACCTGACGTTTCGTCTGATTCCAAGATCTCCAATCTTCTTCGTTCTAGTGGCATGTCATTATTCGGTTTGATTTGTTGAGTGAGTACATTCGTACGTGGCATTGGCTTAGAAGTCGCCACCCGCCTAAGTTCTTCGTCCAGATCGAACCTTACCCGTATCTTTGACATGGGGTCTCCTTCGTGTGGTGCGGTATATGCCTTCCACATCTGGGAGGAGAAAAGTTCCAGGCGCGTTGGAGCCGGAATATTGCTGATAACCCTGGGTGTCGCTGGCGGCGTCGAAGGGCTCCGTTGTATTTTCACTCGATCGAGTGGTGTACTCGAAGCAGTCCTTCCTCCGGTCGTGGTCATTATTGGTTGTCTCGAGAAACGTGTGGTAGTTAAAGTACCAGGCGGTAGATACTCTGGTGGGTGCGAATATCTGTTCATCCACCCTATCCACTTGAAAACCAGCAACGTCCTGTTCTCGGTCGCCACCTTCTTCTGCCTCCCTACGCAATTCGTCTCGTGCCGGCGTCTCCTTCACGGTTTCATTCCCATGTACCGATTTCTCCCTCGTTGAACCGCCTCCATCCAGTTCGGAGTCAGATGGTGCGTTTCGTAAATTTCCCAGCCGAGTCCAATCAGAGACCCCATCGGCACCTAGGTCCATACTTCCTAAATCCTCTTTTTCCTCCAAGTCCAGTTTCTGACTAGCATGTCGCGCTAGACTAGCTTGTAGGCTAGAGTGCGGCATATCGTCTTCATACACCGGTATTTCATCATTATCTGATTCTAACTCGCACAAGTAGTGCCGCAGCAATCTATCCTTCAACTGTTCTTTACTTCCACGCACACTTACCCCTCTTACGCGCAACTCCCGTTCTACGACACAAAGTGGGAGTGCCAAGATTGAGCGATTCACTACCCTCCGCTCACGCGACTCTCGGAGCATCCTATCTACTACTTGCGCCCGCACATCCATGTTCTCCTAACGTAGCTTGGGTCTTTATTAACGGCTGATCACTATAATCCCGCTAACCCTACCTCAGGCTCGTTCTAACAACACACAACCGGTATAAGCTTGGTGAAGTGAGCCATATCGTTGTATGCGACTCCTCCTGGGTGGGGTGTTCCTTCAGTTGTACCAAAGAGCTCGACCAACCTACCGCAGATTCGTCTCCCGCTACGGAGCTGCACGAGTAGTCAACCGCACACAGTTTCTAACTCGGGCTCACGTATTGTCTCATTCAATAAAATTTGTGGTGGAAACCAACTTGGCCTTTGCCTGGGTCCTCGGTCACGTAGATTCGCCTATCCCGTGATCCCTTACCCGCAGGACAACCTGTCTGATTTCCGGGACACCAAACTGCAGAGAAAATTACTACCGTAATCTCACTCGGGCTCAGGTAGTCGTATTCCCTAGTACCACTAATAAGCTTCAGACCCTTTTGTTACGTCCGACTCCTTCAGTCCCGCAACCCTTTGTCTGAAGTTCCAGAAACTTACCCAAAATTTTAAAGAAGTTCCTTGGGTTATTTACGAAAGATAATTATTATGATAATAAAATTTTTAGATTATTTTATTTTGTTATTATTATTATTTCATTTACTTATTAATAATCGTCCGCACTCGCACATATATCCCGTTTGTCTTCCTCACTAAAAACTAAACCTAAGTTAACTTTTAGTTATCCTTAAGACACTCAGTTATCAACCTATCGTCACTATAGTCATCGACTGTAGGATGACCCTCATTTCCCCGGGTTAATTATGAGAAAATGCCAAAAGAATCTTTAAAGTAATCTATTTAATTGTTATGTCAACTATAGGTATAAATATAAATAACTTAAATTATTATCAATATATTTTAAGAGTTTAACCGCTGTTAAACGT